GTTCGGGTAGTTTTGGTATCGGGGGAAATTAACTGAATTATCCAAATTAATTTTGGGTAATCAAAATCGGTATCCGAACTTGGGATCGGGTACCTCGGGTTCGGGTAATTCGGGTCTGGGTTCGGGTATGGGTAATGGGTATCGGGTATTTTGCCCACGCTTAGTTGTGTCCAAGCACATTACTTAGGCCCTCTTTGGATCCCATGGCAAAACTTTAGTTCTACACTTTTAGCCCTTTTTTTTGCAATGGGGATCAATCAGGAGGCTAAACAGTGAGTAAATTGCTAAAAACTGGACTAAAATCTTTTGTTCCTAAAGAGATCCTAAACTGGGCTAAACTCCCTTGGGGCGGACGCTGGACGCCCCATACCCCTTGCCACTCGCATGTATGGCTATGCATGGATAATTAAATAAGGGTAAATAAGTCATTATAGATTAAAGGACTAAAATTTAGTCCATTGATACAAACAGCTCAGCAGGGCTAGAACTTTATGGGCTAAACTTTAGTCCATGGACTAGTAATCCATACACCACCTTTATTAATGTATCTGAAAAGGCCGGTTTGGAACCGCTTAAAAGCGGATTCGCGGTGCTAGAACGCGATAATTGCATCAAACGCATTCCGGCTGCTGCGGTTCTTTTCACCGCCTCAAGCCACCGTACCGCGGAGTTTGAACTACGATCGTGATTTTTGGTACCGCGGATGGCCTATCACACCGCACTGTGGGCATAAGGCAAAACCAAACAGGGGCAAACAATCGTTAGGGTTTTTCCTATTAAATCATATTGAAATTATATGGCAATGCATCGAACAACACGACTGATTGCAAAAAAACGTCACACGTCAAATGTACAACTGCCTTACACGTCAATCAAAAAGAATTCATCATTCTTCTTTTATCACGTCGTCAAGTAAATTTTGTGAAGACCAATGAACATCGAGTCTATCCCTCACATATTGTCTTTCAGTAAACGCCTCACGCCAAAAAAAAAAAAGATGGATATTTCCAATAGCACATCCAAAATGCAGGTTTGTACTAATCATGCAGGATTTCAAGTGGTAAGGCACTCCGATCCGATTATACTGTATGTAATAAGTCACGGAAATCCTGCGTCCCAAAGAAGATCTAAAACTAAGGGAGTCTAGCTGTTCTAGTAATCTTAAGGATGTACTAATTCACTGAAAATTTGAATCAAAAGTAGAATCTTTAAGGACGGCAAATGAACAGAACAGGTTTCAAAAGAGTTACGGAATGAATCCGATTCACTGCCCTACTTTTCATGTGGGGTGTGCACTCGTAGTACGTACGGCCTGTGTCTTGTTTCTCAGAACAGTGGAGCAACAAAAAGGCACCGCAACACCCCATTAACGGCCACATGCTGTGGTACTGGTACTGGTACTGGTAGTGTTTGCAGCAGTTGCAGTGCGGTGGAATCGTCCGCAGCAGCATTATCCATGGATGGTCACTCGTCAGCAGCAGCATCATAACCCTCCCTACTCAAGTCTCGGAGTAAAGGAGGGGGGAGGGACGAGAGCAGCACGAACGAGCCGTGCGAATCGCAAATCACTGCATCCGGACCAAGAGGAATCATCCAAACAAAAGACGAGATGTAGAGACATCTGAGCGCAGCGGCGTAGTACACCCATTCGGCCATGCATTCATCATCATCAGCTGCAGGCAAGGCCAGTTTTCACATGGAGATGGAGATAGAACAACCACTGTTGTGAGCTTCCTGAAAACGCAAAATGATTCAAACAAGCACATGCTATACATATATATTCATCAGTCTTCTGTGCTCTGGGTGCCAATGTTCTATGCCTGTGCCCTACACACATTTATTTGACTCATCAGATCAGAGTTAAGGGCCTCAGCTCAGGACCATGTGTGTAAGAGAGAGAGAGCAACTCTCTGATACGAGTACTGTGCAAGCTACGGTACTCATTCATTCATATTCACCTGACGCTCTCAGATGGTATCACTATCACTATCACTGTCACTGCCATCACCACAGTGTGGTACAGTACTGTGAAAATTGAGAGCTCAGCAATTGCTCAATGCGGCCAGTGAGCGAAAAGAGAGTATTGATATACAATTCTGAAATTTAAAAACAAAAGAAGCTGTCTCCATCCCCACAGTGTGGCTCTTGAGTGGCGGAGGCGGGGTTAATCAGTACTAGAGTGTTAAATCACTAAACACTGAGTAGAGAATCAGCTGTAGGAGATGGAGATGTCCGACCAGTGACAGCCCAGCAGTGCCATGACTCGAAAATACTACCCCCTAAAGATGTTGTTTTGGACATCGACACGATCTCTAAAAAACAACTTTAATCACTACTTTTTGTTATAAAATATTTATAGAATATAATCAATAGATACTTTTATAAAACTACATTTCAAAATGAATCTACTTATATCACTTTTATATTTTCAAACTCAATCCAAAAGAACTTATTTGTAGTCAAAGTTTTAAACATTTGACTTAACACAACCTCAAAACGACAACACGGAGGGAGCATACATTACGAAATATGTTAAATCACTGTGCAAACTTGAATGAAACATTCATAAACAGTTCCACCAGGTCTCCAGATGAATAGTGCTGCTGCTGATGCACATACAGCTGCCGATTGTCGCCTGATGCACAAACAATTCCCTGCTTGTGCACAGCACAAGGCATACGAAGGAGTACAACAGTATATAGACTTATATACTGTTGTAACAACCAATACGACCATTTGGTGAAAAAAAGAAAGAAATTCTGGACGAAATAGTGCCTCTGGGGCCTGCAAGCAAACGTTCGTCAGCCTCTGAAATCTGAATGACCAGTTCTGTTCGTCATTCTTCGCAGTTCCCAACATGGAATTCACTGCCATGCCATGCATAGGCTCGCCCCTCACGAGTCTGATCGATGCCTGCTGCTGCATCAAATCAAATGAAATCATATAACTACTCCTATCATGCAGTGCATTGCAGTGCAGTGGCTGTCCATTTCATTCCAGGTTTCAGATTACATATCCAAGTCTGCATTTTTCTCTGGATAGGTAATAGAGAGACCGGCCTGTGTCCCGGTTCTAAGGGACACATATATTTAAGTTGCTGAGATGGATAGGTAAGAGATGGTACTAGAGTCATATGGGGGACAGCAGGAATTGAAAGCTTAAGGAGTATCATTACTGACGAAACCTGAAAGGACTGCAGAGCCTTCATTGGCATAAATGTTGATGTTGTGTTCTCAGAATTCTGCTATCATCATGCATGGCAACATTCGCAAAAGTAAATGAATAATAATAGTTTTTCAAGCCATTGCTATGTAATTAGTGAGGTCACTTGTGAAGATTAATCCGCAATATTGTAAAAAAGAAAAATTGTAATCTAGGGGTACTTAGAAACCATTGAATTTTAAACAAGGACCATCCAATGGGACCAAGCCTGATGCGCCTGCTAACGGCCCTGTTTGTTTCCGCTTCTCCCAGACACGCTTGATTATAATCTAAGCGAAGATTTTCTTGCTTCTCGCTTTTCGCTTCTCGTAGTTCAAATATCTGAAGCGGCTTACCACATAAGCGAGAATCGGTGGAAATAAGCAAAGCGTTTGGCGGGATTCTCGCTTATTTCCACCAATAAGCCGCTTATAAACGGAAACAAACAGGGCAAACATCACTTGACACTTGACAGATACATCACTTGACACTTGACAGATTGGATTCTTGCAGGAGCGCCTTCGCCAAAGGAATTAAAATCCTGCTCACTGAAGCCGTGCTCGTATAAGCCAGCTTATAAGTCGGCTTATCAGCTATGGTACAATATTTTTCTCTCCCGATAAACTAGCCGTACAAATTAGCACAAAACGACTTATAGACCAGCCGAACAAGGCCTGAACTCCTGGAATGGACGCAGGAAATTTCTGGCTGAAGCAGGTTTGTTTTCCCTAGGCACTACAGTTATTTACATGCTCAAATACTCGGCGTCCTCTTGATGTCGTGAAATAAGTGTACATGATGAATGCTCGAGAATCTGAGATGATGTTAGTGCATAAAGAATTGAAGATGTGCTCAAGGAATCATCCCTGCATGCATTTGGAACTTCCAATACCTACCAGGGTAGAGTACAATACAAGATGAAGTTGGCAGCAGTAGATTATTCTAATGAGCTTTTCTTTCGAAAAGGTCTTCGATGTAACCTGTAACTAATCAGCGAAGTCCGATTATCCGTGACAGAAAACTCTTTGAAGGGCATTTTCAAATTATATGACCAGGTGACAATAAAGCCCAAAAAACAAACAAAAAATAATAAGGAATAGGTCTAATTTCCTACCTTGCCCGTTATAATTCAGCCTGCTTAAACTTACCCAGTAACAATAAGGCCCAGCAATATTAGCATGGGCCTATGCAGGGCTCATGTTTCAGTGGGCCTGCAAACACTGAACTAGCTTCCATGAAAAATAGCCCAGAACAAGCAAATTTATTTTCTTTTGTTTTTCTTCACTAAGAAGAGTCAAACAATGATTCAAGCAACCGCATGTTTGGTTTACAGCACGACGCAATCCGAAATGATCCGTACCTGAGCCGGAACGGTGACGTCAGCTCAAAGCCACGCAGAATAGAACAAGGTTGTTGTTGCTGGCTTAAACTGAAGAAGAGTACTCGAGATTCCTTTGGGTGTTATGGGTGTTATTATTCTTCATCTCCTTTTTATGTTTTTTCCGTGATCGTATAATGTTGTTTTTTGCCTAATTTGCATTATAACAAACTTGTTACGTCTGCTATGCGTTTTCAAGATCCAAAGCAACAACAGGTTGCAGAGAACAAGAAATTCAACAAACCCAAAAAAAATCTGTGCAAAACAAAACAAACAAACAAACAAACACGGAATATCCACAAAACGTGGTCGGCAGGCTTCGAATGTTGTCTTGTTGAACTGCATCCTGGAACTATGCCAACAAGAGCCGCTGCGACGCGACCCTGAGCGAGTCCTGACGGCGTCGGCGTCGACGCCAGCCATGGCGGCGCCTCAGTCCTCCACCGATTCGCTGGTTCCGCCCCTCCGCCGCCACCCGCGCCGCCTCGTCTTCGACCGCCGCTACGGCTGGATGTAAGAGACACACACACGGCCACCAGCCAGCTCCCCCATCTCTGTCTCGCTCGCTCGCTCGCCGCCGAGATCCTGTTTCCGTGTGCTCTGACGCTCCTCCTCCCTCCCCTTCCCTCCCGCAGCTTCGACGAGTGGACGGACCCCGCCGACCAAGCCCTCTCCGGCGGCCGCGGAATGTTAGTGCTTCCACTCCCGCGTTCCGTGGATGCTGGATTTCCTCAGAGTTCCTTCTTTTCCCCAATTTTCCCTAGCCTCAACTCTCGTTCATATCTGCCCTGTTGCTTCTCAGGTTCTGTGCGGTGACGATGGCGCGGTCGCTGGTGAACGCTGCGGCGTCCTCGGTAATCTCCTTCCTGGCAAGTTAGGATATGTGCTGAATTTTGTCATCTTCGCTGGATTGGATTAGATTGTTGGGAAAGGGGGCGTGCTAGGATGCACTGGAAAAATCTAGGCGATAATATAGTGGCATGCTAGCATCACGTTGTTCTTTTACGGATTTGCAGTGGCAATACAAGCTCTGGTATTCTGAGTTCTGAATTCTACAATGGATTTATCATTACTCCCCAGATTCACTGTGCTTTCACATCATCAGTTTATGGTCGCATCTTTAACGTTTGGGGTTTATGACAAGTACAAGCTGGGCAACATCATCTGCACGTGATTTAATTCCGGGAATTTGTTTGTTGGGTGGAGATTTCTTTTCTAGATTGCAAAAATAGGATGAGGCAACCAATTTGAGGTCTAATATGAGATATATGTTTTTTTTTCTGAAAGTTATTCATCAGAGAATTTTTGTTCATATGATTGGCATTTATATTTTCCTAACTTTAGGATAACATTCTGAAAAATATGAACAGTTCTATTCTGAGATCATTGATCTATACTGAACCTTTACTTACCTTAGATGAATTATTACTGTGGTGGATTGTTAATCTTTGAAAACTGCTAAATGTGTATTGGACTACATGTACCACACTGTAACTTAAGTACCCTATTGATTTCCTCCGAAATGTCATACATTGATCTCCTAAATAGAAGTACTAGGGAACATTTTCTTGTAGGACTTAACTCTGGACTCTGTTCCTATTCAACTTTTCATGTTTTAGCAATTTACATTTGGTGGGTGTTCATTTGGTAGATATGAAGCCATGCATATCCATGAGTTTATCTGAACTTACCAGTTGAACTGAATATGATTCACTTTTATGTCGAATACTCCTCAATTGTGCTTGTAGATTAGTCATGTCAGTCAATAATGCCTGTAGATGATGTCATCCTTATATTTTTCCTTTATTCCAATTGATGATTATATCCACTCTAGTACTACACATCTGTTATTATGCTTACTTGAATACATCAAGCATGCAGGGTATCTCCTAATCATAAAGAGAGAAATGGAAAAACCTTTGATTTGGCTATATTAATAGAACATCATCCTGATATCTAACAGCTTCGTTTGTTCCATCACAGATTAACTATGCTGCCAGTTCAATCAGCAGAGTTCTTGAACACCCCAAAAGATTGCCTCTACCAGCATATATGTCTAGCCTAGCATTCCGCAAGCAGCAAAGCCTGGTTTCGTGAACTTGAATGCTCTGGAGTCGTAGCTGATCTTAAGTTAATACACTGTTGTACTCATTCTGTACTGGAATGTACAGCAACTGATTGCCTCTGTTTAACAAAGAAGCATGGTCATCTGTAAGCAATGTATCAGAAAATTATAAGACACTTATCCTTAGAAAAAGCTGATTTGTTATCTATATCTTGTTTCTACTCTAATGCGGAAAATGATGACAGCAGTTATTTACTGGGGTGCTAATCATGAACTCATGACAGTACTGAATGACAAGGGCCATTACACTTTTAAAGCTGAATCCATGTAGCAAATGAAAAGGATAGTGCCCAACTCATGCTGACTTTATAGTGTTCTTACACTTACTGAATAGAATTTTAATTATATCATTTTACCAAGGGATTAGAGTCTTAAAAAGCTGCCACTTACATTTTTTTTGATGTTATAATGTCTAGAAACCCCTTTTCAGAATAATGGCATTAGATTTATCTTTTGAAATACTGTCATAGATATATAGATGTTTGTCTGTGGAGAAATAATTCTCAGTGTATTCACTTTGCATATTTTGATTGAAGTAAAAATCCTGCATTCGGGGTGGTAAAAATGAAACGAAGTCCCTCGGCTCTTGGCAACTTGGCTTTTCATCTGAGCGGAAGAATGGCAAAACATCAATTCTCATCATAAGTCTGTCTGGAAGATGTACAACAGCAGATCGATAGGGACAAAAGTAATTCTGCAAGAATACAGCAATGACAGTTCATTTCAGATACACACTAGTAATACAAATTAGTTATTAGTCGTGATGCTCATTAAGATGTGGACGATTATGAATGTTTTTTTTTCTTCTTGTGATTGAATTAGATATCTCTGCAATCTGACATGAGGAGTGGGATTTCTTAAACTGACATTTTCCAAGCAGGCAACAACAGTACTAAGCTAAATTATATGTAATGAAGCCTTTACCATTCTAGCCTTTCATCAATTGGCTCTATAAATTACATGGCCTAGTTGCCTCCTTTCTCCAACTCGCACACCCTCCCTTTCATTCCAATACCAGCAACAGGTGTTACTGTTCTGTGGCACTGCAATGTCTTTCTTGTGGACTCTTTCTGTGGCTCACATCCATCACTTGACCTTGATACGGGAAAAGATGAATTCATTGGCCAAACTAACAGTGCCGGTCCTAGGGTCCTAAGGGCTCTCTGGCGGTCTCGCCACTTGCAAAACGAAAGCAAATTCAATAATATATTTTTAATTTAACATGTCAGATAATTATCGAGGAACAATGTAGATTAAACAATATATTTATAGATGTATGATAATTATTGAGGAACAAAGTAGATTAAAAAAACAATATATTCGTTTTCTTTTCTCACCCATGACAAATGTTTCTTAGGTAACATTCTAAAATTCTAACACATAAATTAGAAGAAAAATATGACTATATGGGTTACTAGAAGTCTACTATACAAATAATTAATTTGGATTTGGACAACGAATATTATCAGGAATCAAATCAGCACATGAATGGATCTCCCAGTAGTCTAGCTCTTGGCATGGTGTGGCTGTGCCACCGCGTGTGTAAAGCGTAAGGCGACATCGCGAACTCACTATCGTGTGTTTCGTCGCCTCCTCTCTACCCAAAGGCCGTGGAAAAAGAAAACTGGAAAGAAATGTCGATGTTGTCTTTTTGGGCCGTCTGACCAGTTCTATGTCTCTCTTCTCATTAGTTTGCTAATGCCTAATAAACTATATAGGATCTAGAATACCACCAACAGAGCCCTCGAATCCTGGTTTAAAAACAGACAAGTGTACACAAATTGGCACTACAAATTATATTCGTCTATAAAATATGGACAACGAATATTATTAGGAATCAAATCAGCACATGAATGGATTGCCATTTCATGATAATTTCTTAGAACCACCAACAGAGAAACCTTGAATCCTGGTTGTCAGATGGCAACAAATAGACCAAATCCAACTAAAATCCAACACTCTTTTGGATTAGTGTTCCAGCACAATATATCCCCACGCAGATAAGAAATTTCTTTGACGATAATAAGGCTAAATAAAAAAAAACTCTGCAGACCAGAATCGATTCAATCCATTTGCTATATAGCCAGGCCAAAAGTGAAGGTTAATTCGAAATAACTGTAACTTTTGTCAAAAGAAAAATTGCAGTCACGGGCGGCTAAAAACATTGAGTTTTAAACGAGGACCATCCTATGGAATACGGTCCAGGTGCGCAGTGCGCCTGGTAACATTCCTGGACAGGATAGATCCTCTCGGTGGTGGCTCATCCTGGAATGGTTGCAGGAAATTCTCGTGTGCAGTAGATTTGTTTTCCAGAGGCATTGCGGGGCAGTATTAACTTGATCAGTGTCCTCTTGAATCTTGATATCTTAAAATAAGTTTACATAATAATAATGAATGCTCGAAAATCTGAGATGGCAAAACTAGTGTAGAAAGAATGACATTGGGGACTTCTCGTTCTCGATACCTATGCTACAAGGGGAAGTTGACAACCGTCTTATTCAACGTCATCAACGTAACCTTAGAACTTAGCAACAAAGTCCATTTTTTCTGTAATATTATCAACGAAGTCGGATCTTCTGTGACTGAAACTACTACTCTCTAATAAATGAACAGGCCTAATGGGCTACCTAGCCTGTTCTGTTTCAGCATGCAGAAACCTACTACCCAATAAGGCCAAAGCCCAGCTGTACCAGCATGAAGTAGCTAGCATGCAAAATCGTACAGCCAAGCAAATTAATTATCTTTTGTTTTTTCCTTATAAAAATAAGCAAACAATAATTCAGACACAAGCGTCCTACAAATGATTCAAACAAACATGGGCTATGAACATCGTTAGGAACTAAATCAGTAAACGAAAGGACTCGCCATTCCGTACAAGTCCAGCATTTTTTAACAGAATATCAGCATTTTTTAACAAAATATCTAAAGAGAGTAAACCCTTAATAATCCTGGTTGGCCCTACTATGTTCTGGGCTCTACTATTACATTGCCACTCCGAACGGGAATCACGTTACAAGGTGTGTACTTCTCCAGGTCAATCTACTGATTGAGTCTATAGCTTCTTCCTCTGAAGGCACCAGTCCCGGCGTTGCCGTTAGCTGGTGGCCGGACAGGAGCGTTGGCTTGCATGCCTATTCTGAATCGAGCAACAATCTTATGTCTGTGCAAGTGCAGCAGGTTAAGGAGACAAGGAGCAGAGATATTTAAAAATAAAGTAGCAATAGCGCAGAAATTGATCTTAGTTATAACTGCAAACTGAGAGAGAATGCTTTGGCCATGACCGTGTAAAAGGATACACCCATTTCGGAGTCTTGAGGTAGTTCTTTCCCGTGGCAAGAGGGTGCAACACTGAAAAGAAGTAGTAGAGATGTCCAACCATGATACCCAGAAGGCCAGGCATTAATGATGACCCAAATATCATATCCAATAAGAGCATAACCCATGGAAGATAAAATGCCTGCAAAAGAAGAGAGTACATCAACTACTAATGAATTATTCGCAAGGCTTACTTTGCCTGTTCACCAATTGAGCAACACGGAGATGGGAATTGCAATCAATGGTAGTGAAATTACATACCCTCAATTGGACAAGGCCGTATATATTTATCTGAGCATTCGGATTCTCTCGGCTCCAGACATAAACAAGCATGCTGACCATAGGTATTCCCAATGCGTAAGTATTGAATAGGGGAATAACAGACACCACCTGATTCAAGTAATACAGAGTTATACACAAGTTTAGTAGAAGTTCAAGAATGTCTCTTGGTTTGGTCTAATCTGAAATTCTGAATGCAAAAAAAAAAAAACACTGACCAATAGTGAGATGGCACCAAATATCATCATCCACAAGAAATCTGCTGTCCGTTTATCAAATACTCCCTTCTCCAACATGACACCATACCTTGCTCTATGTAAATCAATTTCAAACCAAAGCTAATTTAAAATTATAGATGCTGTGAAAGTAACAATATTTTATCATTGGTGTTCAGCAAAACTCTCACTTACATCATCAGAAGGCGAATACCAAAGTTTATGGAAAATGGTCCCAGGAAGAAGAAACTTGTAAATAGCCTCCATACCTGCAGGGTTCATTTTTTTAATATATATAAAATGAAGATATGGAGCAGGAGTGCAAAACATGTAACAACTTCCAAGCATAAGTACATGATAGACTACAGAATGTATTAAATCAAAACAAAAGTGTTCTGATCTATTAATAGAAATTCACAAATAGCATGGTGGAATGCAATACATATATTCCAAAACAAACTCGAGCAAAGTAAGTTCCCCTTAATTATCAGGCAAGGTAATCCAACACGTTACAACATCCTTCCTAATACAAGCTTACAACATTTTGCACTCGAAACTAAGCGATAATAATGTTAAGCTGTATAGCTGTTGTAAGGGAAAGAGAAAACAGAAACACAAGCTAACCTCAAATTTCTTGAACACCGAAGGGTAATCTAAGTAAAGAAATGACCGATTCAGGATCCCGAGCCGAACTAGCACGGTGGTAAAGAAACACAATGTCCCATATGCCTTGCTTATAGGTGGAAGTGATTTGTAGTACCTGGAAAAAGGCAAGTAAGTGACCACACATTCCAAAGCTGCTTCAAAGCTAAAGGATTATACTTGTTTCTTAGCACCGAGTCTCCAGAAACTAGTGATAATTTACAACTAATGCTTGAGCCGAAATTTGCAATTACAAACGTAAGCACAACAACAAAGATAAAGTTTTTGTTATTATTATTGTGCCAAATTAGCGATGCGTGACGATGTGTGCCTCATTAAATCACTATGCATAGATTAATATTACACACTGGTAAATATTTATCACAGGAAACACAGTATATAAGTTTAAAGATAACTGAACAAATAGCTATACAGCGAGTTGCACAAACAAGCTTTTCTTTGGGATAGTGGTGGTTGGGAGATGCAAAAAGCTGACAGCACGAGAACCTTACAACAATAGCTGTCCTCCATTTCCTTTAGAATATTGAATCGGAATGGAGGTAGACAGGTAGTTGCCTGCTCAATTGATGTGTTTGGTGAATGGCACACTATAGAAGGTAGGAGAGGAGTACAAAAGTCGTGAGTTCATAAAATGGCTGAAAACATGTGGAAATTCCAAAGGCCATATCAAAACCTCGTGCCTCAGTTAATGAATTCAAATAGAAATTATTTAGCAGTGCTAAGGGTCACAGGGTCAGAGAAACAGGCCAAACTGGTTTGATCATTTCAGCTAGTAAAAAATGGTGACAGTTTCAGATGACCAGATCTACGGATTCTAACCCCCAACAGCAATATCTTTAACCTTTTGTTGATTGGCAGAGATGTCACCAGTATCAAGGACCTTATCATCAAAGAACATCAAAGCAGATGTCTTCATGATATATTGTACTGTCAATGATGCCCCAGCAAAAGCAAAAGGAGAGAAAAACCAGACACATTTGATGATTTCGAATTCGACAACAGCAAAGTGGCAAAATATTATCAGTACCTCTATGCATCAGGTGATGCACACTCCAGTTCTTCGTTCCGAATTTCGAATTAAACTAATTGCGAATAATGCTTCAAATACCCTTATTCAGAAACCAGGAAGCATTTTTGGCCAGAGTAGCTAAGTATGCAGCACAAAACAATCACGGAACTAATAAATGATATAAAATGATCTGTATAGGCATTACATATTGATATTGTCATCACTGACACGTCCAGACAACCTTCCAGCCCAAGATCACAAAGTTTGAAGTGCATGGAAAATAATATTGTTATTCAAACTTGAATGAAAATGAAGCCTGTAAACAACCAATTCAGGTGCTAGAATTTTCACGGGATAAAGGCAAGTGGGTGGGTCAACTTCGCTTCCAAGTTGAAAGACTATCTATCATCAGTGATAACTAACCCCCTTCATGTCTTGACAGTACAAAACTCGCATTACAATACCGATGTATATGTATATAGATACAACGATGTACCAGCAACATAGAGATAAAATCACTAGAGCACCAGCGAATACGAACCTATCAGATCAAATCCCCGATTAATTTCGAAGCTGAACCCTAAGGGACCAAAGTGGCACCACGACTCCGCAACCCCAGCCCTCTACTGTCGCAACACAAGGATAAGCCCACTGTATTCTGATAAAAACGATAGAATCCATCAATTAATCGAAACAGTTCAGCTCGAATTCCTCTAGCGATCCCCAACCCGAATCACGGGCCTACCATGCGACATCTACACGTCGGAATCTGAGATCGAAGCTCGGAATCAGATGAAACCGCTGTAAGAGTCGAGGGGGCTCACTCGGCGGGCGAAGACATCTTCACGCGTCGATGGATCCGAGGCCTCGACGTTCCCCTGGTCTAGTCTCCTCTCGCGTCCGTTTCCTTCTTCTCGTCGTCGTCCCGTTCGAAGCTTCGGAGGAGGGAAGGAAGAAGAGCTGGGGTTGAAACCGAGGTCGACGGCGCCTGCGAGAACCTTCCGGAGGAGAGAAGCAAACGCGCCGTTGATCTCCGATCGGAGGGACGAAGATGGCTCGACACGTAGGTGTGCGCGCTACGGCGCACGCGATTGGTCGTGCTACGCGGCTGAATGCTGACGTGGGCTTGGTCGTGCTACGTCGAACTGGAGACGGAGTTGGATTTAGGGCAGTCCAAGGAAAGAAACGGGCGGCTATAACATAGGATACTGTAAAAAAAAATATTATTTTCCAATCTATAGTTTCTATAATATCATTCATACAAAGAGTAAATTAAATGCGGTACTAAAAACAGATAGATCAATTATAACAATTATTTTTACAGCCCACATGTGTTCCGTCGATAACACACAATGACAAAGAAACAAAATTGGTCGATAGCTGCCAGCAAATCAACACAGCCGGCAAACATAAATCATATTTCTGCATTCCATCACTTTCCAGAACCAAATATCACCATACAACAACCCATATTTCAGTCTCGAAAACCATACATTAATTAATAATAGCAATCCGGAGATAAAGATAATATGTAACATACATAGTTCATACGGAAGTCCTAAAATTCATCATATGCAAAATAAAATAATAAGGTGCCACGTCCATGTCAGGTAGGTTGCACATGCACTCCAAAATCCATCAGGTCGCAATGAACTCCAAATCTTTAGAAACCATCATCTACAAGGAAAGAAATAGTGATTAGATGAAAAACATTACTTAGTGCAATTGGAAATATTAGATGAAAAACATTACTCAGTGCAATTGAAAATGTTGAACTGGCACATGTGTTTTTCAAAAAACTAATCTGTTCTTTGTAAACAAACATACTAGGATGACTTAGCTATATTTGCACACTAAACCAAATCAGATTGAAGATATGTACCTAATTATTTTGCCTATATGTATTCCTACACTTTTGCCAAATATGATCAATCAAATCAGATTGAAGTTGTCTATACGCTTGGCGATCATGTAAGGTAGTATTTCTGTTAAGTACATCTTCCATCTCAGGGTTTTCTCCATGAGAGATTGTAGCTTCTTGAACAGTATATGTGCTGGCTTCCTCATTCAAATCAATTGGAACCTGCTCTATATCCTTCTCATCTTTAATTATCATGTTGTGGAGAATTATACAAGCAAGTGTGATATTCTCCAGATCTCCTTGGTCATATAGACGGGCTGGTCAACGCAAAATACAAAAGTGAGACTGCAAAATGCCAAAGGCGCATTCAACATCCTTCCTTGCCCTTTCTTGCTTCTCAGAAAAAGTTTATGTTTATCAGATTGTGGTTTACGTATAGACTTCACGAAAACAGACCACTCTGGATATATGCCGTTGCTAAGTAATAACCAATATTATGTTGTCTACCATTGATAGAGTACTGCACCTAAGAGCTTCTCCTCTCAGCTGCTCGACAAACAAATGTGATTGGTTAAGCACGTTGATATCGTTGTTCGATCCGGCAACACCAAAGAAGGCGTGCCATATCCAACGATCGTGCAAAGCAACTGCCTCTAGAATGATCGTAGGAACACCGTGATCACCGCGGGTATACATACCATTTGACTAGAGAAAATTGGTAAACCCACTTGGTGGGTACATCCTAAAAAAATAAAAAGAGATGTTCAATGAGCATTCATCGGATCATATAGAAAAATATTTTCTACCATAAATACTTGTAGTAATAGTATGAACCAACACAATTGCCTCGATCAAAATTGGAACACTAAAACTGATAAGAACACATACCCTTCATTGGAGCCCATCGGAGAGGAATTTGTCCACCACGTTGGAAATCCGGCTGCTTGAAGGCTTGGAAGTGGTGGAGATGCTGCTGCAGTCACGCGAGAGGGATTACCGGCGGCCGAACTAGATCCATCATCAGGGGCGATGGGAGCACCAACTACCGAATCAGATCGGGTAGCGAGGGCAACAGGAGCACCCCTGCCCTGCCTTGTCCTGCCTTTCCCTGCCCTGCCTTGCCTGGAGCTTGACGATGGCGGCCGGAGAAGATTCATGCTTGCAGATTGGGGGCTGGATGATTCTAGGTCTTGGAGGCCAGGCTATTTGAGGCCAGGTGAGCGCGCGGGGGAAAGGGCGACGTAGTGGTGGGAGAAGCGCAGGGAAGGGAGGGAGGAAGAAGCGCGTGGGAAATCGGCGGGGAGGGAGGGGAGGCGAGCCATCATCCATCGGCGTGAGAGGGCGGCGGCGCATGGGATCCGGGTGCAGGGCACTCGACGCTGGTCGTTTCTTCCCAACGGGGTTTTCGTAGTTTCTAGGTGCATCGTTGCTAGCGTCGAAGTCGTTCCCTACTGAAGAAATGGTTTCTTCATTTTTTTCTCTCTCTTCATTAATTTTCATGCCACATCAACAAAATGCTGACTTGTCCAAGTAATTAATGAAGATAGAAACTACCGTAAATACATCATTGGGACTGCCCTTAGAACGTTGCAGAACCTGATCGGCCGTGCTAGGGCAACTCTAATCAACTCCTCAAATTTTGGTCCCTCCTCTCACAAACGAGAGTCTCTCGTTCAGATTACAGCCCTCATTTTTCTCTGGGCCTGTTCGCTTGAAGGAATTTGGATGGTTTGGAGGAATACTGGAGGAATTTGTGAGAGAAAAATATTGTTCCGGATGAAAAAAAGAAGTGGATCAAGCCGGGTTTAAGGGCACGCGAACGAGGCCTCTGTGCTCTAAACAAACCCTCATTTCAACCTTCCTATATTTTTCTCACCTATATTTTACTAGCAAATATGCACGTGTGACACACACGTGTTTTTCAAAACTATTTCAATTGCAATGAAATGTTAATTGAATTGTCGATATACAATAAAGGTAGATCGCAAGTTCTTGATCAATTTGATCGGGTCATGTAGAACAAGGTTCAAATCGTTTGTATGCCTCAACTCTCAGCTGCATATATCATTGCACTTTGACTTGACACGTTTTTAAATGGGTCATGTTCCTGTTGATAGAATATCATCGGCAGTCCTCCGAGGGATATCCCATGAAGGTAGATTGATCGGTAGAGGTGCGCGTAATCAAGAACAAGAAGATAACAGAGACACAAGAGTTAGACAGGTTCGGGCCATCTGCATGACGTAATACCCTACTCCTGTGGTCTGTTGGTTTGTATTGACTATCATATGATATTATGTGTGTTTTGATGGGGTCCCCTACCCGCCTTATATAGCCGGGGGTAGGGTTACAAGTCAGTTAGATATAGGAGATAACCGATAAGTAATAACTGGTTACAAGAATCATGGGATCAAGCATATTCTAACAAATCTTGTAGCATCTTCACATATCGCCATTAATGTCTTGTGGTACATGCCGAGCAGTACCATGCACCGTAAGTCTTCGTCTTGTGGGATGGACCACCCCTGGCGGCGCAACCCTTGTAGTCTGCCATGGGTATCCAGGGTCGTACCCCCACAACTAGTCCCCGAGCGCCTTGTATCCGCTGTGCAACGCCGTCTTAAGCTTATCCGAGCAGGTTTAAACAAAGCCGAGTAGTCAGATTCATAGTCCGACCACCCTAATGAATCATCGAGCAGTTGTGGACCGTAACCGACCAGCTTAACTGTCCGGCCGAGCATGGGCTTACCCAAGTAAGGCTTGTTAGAAGGATGTAAGGAGCTCAAATTCAAAATCAAAAATTTCTCGCTGTGAACCAAGTGTGCCCACTTAGAGTCCGGCAACGAGAAAGGGAGATAATCTTCCTCAACTTCGGGAGGCACAGAGTCTTCCAATGAACAGATTAAAGAAAACACACTCACCGCAAGGTGAAGTGTGCCCACTTAGTCCCCAAACCTAATAGTAGGTGACATGGCCACGTGGTGCTAGGGTCTAGAAAGTAGAAGAAAGAGAGAAGACTAGCCGAACAGGCAACCAGTCCACGGGCTGAGCCCTGAAATGAAAAGCACACATTTACCACAAGGTGAAGTGTACCCACTTAGTCCCTGAGCCTGACAGTAGATGACGTGGTTCACGTGGTGCTAGAGTCAGAAATAATAGTAACCAGAAAAAAGTCCCCAGTATGGTGAGAAACCGAATCATAATGATGACGTAGTCCTCGAGCCACAAGTGAAAATCTCGGATAAATCAAGAAGTGCCGATTACTCAAATCATGGAGAAAAAAACGGAGTAATGATTGTACAGTAAAAATTACTAAGCCTTGATGGTATTACGGAGAGGTCAGCGAATATTCGGTGTGAAGTACCGAGTTGCGTTGAAAAATAGGCATTATGAGTCGTAGTTGCGCGGAAGCCCAGATAAATGTAACACCCTCGGTGTTACACTGTAAATCTTTTGCTAAAACATGTTATGAGCATCATGGTTATGTGTTAATGCATGTGATATAAAGGGTAGATCAATTTCTTTAACTTGAAACGATCATCAAAAATGCGAAACGAAAGCTACATTTCATATATATCACTTAGGGTTTTAAAACCAATTTTTATTGAGCGAAAATGCTATACAACACACATACAGACCTTTAATAGAGTTCGAAGTACAAACCTTGTAGATGACGGTGAAATACCTGTGGTCGAAAAATGAATTCACTAGCTAACTGTGCTAATAGCTTGGAAATCGAATTTGACGCGAATCCGATCGAGACTTAGCAAAATTCTCAAGTTGAAAGCAGTGTGATGATGCGATATTAGTGAATTAAATCTGGAAAACTTAGCTCAAGGCTTGTGCTATATTTTTGCTCAGTGGTTTGCACCTAAGTCTGTACTTCCTAATGGTAGCAAGGTTACTTTGATTAGGACTTGACTTGATCACTAATTAATTGCATTGGAAAGCTAAAAATAGTAACTTGGCAGCCTAGCTTTAGCTCCGGATGTCAGTCGGCAATGCTATCTTGGCAGTCTCCTATCTCCCTCTCCACTTCACCTTGGTTCGAGCGGGTAGGTCCTATTAGCAGCTTAATCAACCCTCTTTAGCTTTGTTGAGATGGGTAAGCTTTGGGCAGGCTAGTTAGGCCATAACTGGTGCTTCAAAAACCGTGCACGCACTCATGTCTCGGTCGCCTATCTCCGGTGTGTGCTCACCTTGTGCCCGTGCTCGCCGCGGTCGTCCCGGCCATGCCACGAGCGTGTGGTCACGTTGAATTCCTACTAGAGCCATATATGATATTTAGTTTTAGAAAACTTCCACATATATGCTTCTTGCATTGCCTTGAGTGTAGTCCAGCTTTGTTGACCCATATGAGAGGTTTGTCATGCTCTTAAAATCAAGATCACGTATACACCACCCAAATATGCACTACTCCTACATTGGGAGTAGGCGCAACAACATGCCATTCCATATAGATCCACCCAAAATATTTTACTCCTACACTAGGAGAAAACACCGAAAATATTCTTGATAGGATATACACCAAATAAATGCTCCAAAGTTTTTGTTGCTATCTCTTAAAAATTTTGTTGCCGAAAAGAAGCATGTGGCTATGCAAAAGTTATTCATAAAAAAGAAGAGAGAAAGAAAAAAGAGTTGAGAAAAAATGGACAAGTGTCCAAGAAAAAATGGACAAGTGTCCGAAAAAAGGAAGAAAAGATGAATAAGATAGCCCATGTTTTCTTGCTAAATTGTTTTCAAGTTTCAAGAGAGAGATATGTTTTCAAGGAGCATAGAAATAGGTTAGCCACCAAATATGTAACACCCCAGTGTTAAGCTTACATTCTTGCACTTGCATTGCATGAGCATAAGCATCATTCATACATTTGCATTCATGAGCATGAAATGATACATTGTCTAGTTGTGATTATTTTCATAAAGTGTTTAAATTGCCTTGTGAATGTTTAGTGATCATGCTTGGTAATGCAAGTGGGTATTGTTTGGTCACCAAAACAACTTAGACACACTTAGGATGAAAAATGGAACTAAGTTTATATTGGTGATTTGGTCCAAAAATGCTTCTAAATGATGGTATGACTAGAAATGCCCTTTATCATGTTTAGTGTTTGACCTATCTTGACTAATTACTTAGAGAGCTTGCTTGACAATGGACCCTAAATAAAAGTTGTAGTTTAGCTCATGTAGAAAAAACTTATTTTAAAGGTCAAGAGCTGAACCAGTGCCTAGCTTAGTCTAATAGGGCTCACAAAAATCCACTTGATGCTGTTTTGGAACTTCAAAAATCGGCCAAGTCTAAAACTGATTTCCAGTTTCAATGTAGCTGACTTTGGAGCATTTTAGTTTGAAAACCATTTGGAATTTGGCCAAACTCTTTTAAGCAAATTTGTAGTACTCTTGTAGCTCTACAAAATGGTGGAACTGGTTTGCCAAATCACTACATGGATTAGGAGTTCTAGTGGCTCAAAAATCAGGTTTTAGTTGGTAATGGAGGCGGCTCAGTGCCGATTCAGACCAGCCAGGGGCAGTAGTAGTGGCCAACCACGCGTAGGCCACATGTGTCGTGGTGTGGCGGCCATATGCCGGTGCCGGCCCGCTCTAATGAGCTAGAAGGAGGGGAACACGGGCGTCCACACTCTCCCACATTCACTCTCGCTCTCCCTCCCTCTCTTGTCCACGCACCACACCACAGCGAGAGAAAGGCAGCAGCGCCGCCGCCGTTACATCTTCGCCGGCCAAACTAGCCACCCACACCGCACCACCACTTGATTCGTCTCACCCACAGCTTTGTCGCGTCGTGCTCCACCACACTAAACCACTAGCAACGCCATTCGAGCATAGGTAAAGCCCCTAGGGCCAATGCGCCATGATAGCCATGGCCACACTGTGCCATCGAGCTTGAGCTCGTCATTGCTAGGCCATGGTGCGCATGCACCGCTCTCTCTCTCTCTCTCTCTGTCCCCTGTTCCATACTTGCTAGGGTTCATGCATGCTATAGCCGCTGGCCTTTGGCCAATGCCGGCCTTGCTGGAGGTAGAATGTGCACCGCCCCGCTGTGACCCGGCTGCGCCGCCACCATGCACGTCACCATGGCCTTGCTTACCCCGTCTCTTCCTTTCTCCCTTTTAGGTGTTATAGCATAGCCTCAGGATGG